TTAATGTAGAAGTTATTGTGAAATGTTGTAGATACTTGAGGGAACTTTCACAAACCAATTTCATTCATTTCAGCTCATTTATACGCATTTAAGAGATTAAGGGCAAAATGATCTGTTCCTCAAACTCCACAGCAGTCAATTGTGGGAAAGAGCCACAGATTTTTATTGGCTGAATGAGAGAAGGTTGTCATATAAAAACACATGCACAGCTGGGTGATATAAGCTATCAACAACACAGCATATGGTGGTATATGAAAAAGATGAAAGGGTAAGTGAAAATATTATTATATATAAATATAGTAGAAATAATATCTAAATATTACATATTATTTTATAAATATGACTGTATATTACTACATTAAGAATCTATCTATCTATTTATCTATCTAACCTTATTATTATTATTGATTAGTCCATTGTTTGTTCAGGAAGAAGAGTTCAAACAACATATTTCAGTTCCTGATTCAGGCAAATGTTTGTCTAGCAAGATAAAATATGTAAATATATATATATATGGGACAACCAATTTATGATTGCAATGTAAAGCGGTTTATTTTGCAGGTCAGAATCAGCTATGACAACTTTAATCTTGGTTTTCAATCTCCTGTCTGCAGTCTGAGTCTAAAAAATATGACTTATATAGGCCTAATGCAAATATAACATAGGCCTAAGGCTTACTGTTTAAGAGATTATATGTCTGTTGGATATAGGCAGAGAAATCCAGGAGCAGGAAGACAAGAGATCTGAGTTTTGAGGTAATCATTTTCAGTCTAAACAATGTACATTATTTAAACCTTAGCCAGGAAAGGCTTATTTTGTTTAATCTATTTTATTATATTGCCTATTTAATATATTAGCCTATATCATTTGTTTCCAGTACAAAAGCAGCACGTTACGCTGCTTATTACATGCTGGTATTTCTTATCACAATATTTTAATGTATTGTTGTAATTATAAACACGCTGATTTGTAGCGTAATTAGTTGTATCGTTTACTGCACTTTAGTTATAATGTATCAGAAGTCTTGCACATTCACAGAAAATAGCATACTTCAGTTAATCAGATATATTTTGATATATTGTGTTTTCAGGACTTGGCTTTCCAGTTCAGTCAGCGCCTTCATTTTATTTTCTGGTGCCTGTGGGTCAGTTTGGTGGACTGCAACTTTCCCCCTACAGGTTCCCCAGTCTTAGGCCCCGTTTTCCGATTTTTTGCTCATAATGTGACACAGATCGGATCTGTTCTATGACAGTGTAAACAGGATTTTTTTTTTTTCGATATTGGTTTCAGGCCTCATTCATATGTGGAAATAAATCGGATATAAATCAGATATGTGCCAATGCGACTGTCATGTAAACAGGCAGATCGGATTTTCTGAGGCATTGCATTCTGTCTGTCATTAAAACCGCGACAATTTGGTACTTTTCCGAGGTTTAATGACGTCATATCTGACCCGTGCTGGCAAAATGAGTGTAAATTCGCACGGGCTATTTTGAGCTACAGGCAAAAAAAGTGAATAATGCTCCAAGTAGTAATTAAACATCTAAAATTATCTTTATTTGTACATTTTCTGAGAGGATTGCCTTTTCTCCGCACGCTTCTCGCGCTGACTGTCATCCGAAGTGCGTGCATATAACGGCGCACGATCTCGATAAATACACAGTATTTCAGTATTCACGCAAACATAATCTGTTCTACCTTAAGTGAACGCTTGGGGAACTGTTGGGGGAAAACATCTGATGTGTAACATTATATTAGATCCGTGCATTACAGTATATTACGTCTGTATCATTAATGTTAATCTAACAATAAAAGAAACGAGGAAATCACTCGCTGCACTTCATTGAACTGCTTTCGTAGTTTTAATAATCAATTTATTTGTAATGAACACACGTAAGTTACTTTTACATTTGATTATTTGTTTTTCGTACATGAATGCTTTAGTTAGATACAAAATGATAAAGGTAATGCATTATTTGTTTCTTTCTAGGCTATTTGTTCAGTTTTTTTTTGCATCTGTTCTTATTTATAATAGCAAAGATAAAATAAACAATAGCTATACTGTGATTATTAATATAGTAATTATTTAATAAGAAGAAAAGACGGAGGACTTCACTCTATCGACTTCAAACGGGTGTAGCTCAGTCATTTTTTGTCAGATTCCAACAAATCATAAATCATTTTGAAGGTCTTTTAAATGGAGAATGTCTTTTTTTTTATTTATTTCTTTTTTTAAGTTGCTCATTGTGACTTGTTTTGTCAGCACAGGTGTCACATTATTCTCCGGAGGAAGCGCATGTGGAGGCACGCATGCGCAATGTTTCAGATGGTATGGCAAGTGTAAACACATGAATCGGATACGGGTCACAATTGAAAGAACGTGTAAACGGACAGCCCAAAAAATCGGATATAAGCAACAAATCAGAATTAGGCATCAAGACCTGCAGTTGGCAATCTTTTAATAATATTTCTAAGATTATGGCATTGAACACACTCCAAGTACCATCACTGTAAAAAATGACCGTGAATTTAACGGTAAAAGACTGTAAAAATGCTACAGTAAAATCCTGTTAAATGGTTAACGGTAAATTCCCCTACTATATACGGTGAAAAACTGTATTGGACATTACATGTATTGGACATTAATTTTACGGTAGTATACCATTTTTGGAAGT